TTGCTTATAGGGCAAATGCTTTCACCAGAGAGACAGACACACACAGAGAGAGAGAGAGAGAGAGGAAGTGAGAAATCACCACCCAAGGTGGGTGGGCCACACCACAATCCCTTCTTTTCTACTCTCCTCTCAGGATTTTGAGCATGCATGGATACATGCCTGGCATGAGTTTTAAGCCTCTGTGTCTGGGACTTGAACCACAATTCACTACCTGGGAGTCTGGCGATATAACCATTATGCCATCTGCTGGTTCCTGAAAATTCTCATTCTAAAGAGGATAGAATTGCGGGGCATATCTAATTGTGTGAGATGAATGTTGCCAGATCTTTTTGCTTTCCAAGATAATAGAGAAATCTGTGTTTTATGTGAAGCCTCTTAATTTTTAAATGTTGGCCACTAACTTGGAGCAGCAGTTAGCTAGTTACATCATGCCCAGGGAGGAAGACATGCCTGGGGCCTTGGTTTGCAGATTGGAGGTCAGGCAGGGTTATCCCTGCATACTTGTTCCACACTGAGACCCACTGCTTCTAAGCTGCTGACTTTGTGCCTTTGATCCAAGATACTTGTGAGGGTTAGAAATACGTGGAAAATCCTTATAATGTTATCTGTTACACTGTGAAGACACAATACATTTTTATTTTATTATCATTGATATTAGTATCTCTTCTATGACTGTTACAACAAATTACTACAACTTGGTGGCTTAAAACAACACAGACTTACTAGCTTACAGGTCTGGAGGCCACAAGTGTGAAATGAGCTTTCCAGGGCTGAAGCCAAGGCATCCATTGGGCAGGTTCCTTCTAGAGAGACTCAGGGAAAATCCAATTCTATTCCTCCTTTTCCAATGTCGAGTGGCCACTTACCTGCCCTGGTTCATGCTCCCTATTCTAGCTTCAAAGTCAGCATGGCCTCTTTAACCACCTCCCCGCACCCCACCCTGGGCTTGGTCATCACACTGCCCTCTGTCTGACTCTGCTGTATCTCCCTCTGATAAGGACTCTTGTGATTACAATAGGCCTCCGTGGATAATTCAGGATGACTTTCCCACCTCAAGATCCTTAACTTGACCATGGCAGCAGAGGGAACAGCTGCTGGCCCCTGAAGTCAGGACAGGAACATTTTTGGGAAGCCATTATTCAGCTTACTCTGACTATTGTTATTGTCATCTGACCCCAAGCCTCCTCTTAATGAGTTTTGGGATTCAGGGTCACAGGCTGATCCTGATCAATTCACTGGAGGCTGTAACTTCAGGGTGCCTTGGGGCCCATGGGGAAGTGATCTGTCTACAGATGCCTTCTGGGGAATTTTACATCAGGGGTGGCCAACACTGACTTAGGGCTTCTCAACAATGAGGCTAAGGACAGAGGTGAGTGTCACCACCCTTTTCCAGCGATGCCCTCGACTGTATTAGAGAAACAAGGCGACAGTGGCCCAAAACGAATTCCAAATGGCAAAGATAGCCAGATGCATGTGGATACATTCCTAATAACCAGAAAATGCCAAACAACACCTAAGGAAGGTGGGCCAGTAGCCATGCTGGTTAAAATCCCTACAGAACAGTCTCAACACAATAATCTCAAATGTTGAAATCCAGAAAGATAAAAATCTCTATTGTCTAAAATCCCATAAATGACTATCCCAGAAGATTAAATCCCAAAAGGTTAAAATCCCCAAATCCAGAATCCTAAAATATTCTAATTCTGGAGATACAAATTGTGTACAGACTTTCAGAGAGTTCTAACCTGTTTTAAACTTTTTTTTTTTTTTTTGCAAACTTGACTTCATCAAAGGGCATTATTGTCATATTGATTTTGTGTGTAAGCATTGTGTATACACATAAAAGTGTTGACGCTTCCTTGGGGCCAGCAGATGGCAAAGTGGTTAAGGTATTGGACTCCCATATGGCTGACTATGGTTTGAGTACCAGACGTGGTGGCTTGGGAATCATGCTGGGTGAGGGTCCATGTGCACCCGAAATCCCATGGAGGAGATTGAAGGAGAAGGGATTGTGGCATGATCATCCTCCCTGGGGGGTGATTTCTCACTTTCCCTCTCACTGTCTCTCTCTCCTGAGAATGCATGAACCCTATGGCAAAAACCTTACAAAAAATGTTGACACTTCCTCAATAAATGAACACATACCCTTTTCATACTTCTGCATTTTTGAAAGAAAATTTCTTAAGATCTTGGCTCTTCAGGTTTTTAATTAATCTCATCAAACAATTCAGGTCATCCATCATGGTACTTAGGATAACCAAACTCATAAGGTTTGGTGCACAAAATTGCCAGCCACAGTGGTAGACTAAGCATCCTGTTCTTCGGGGCCAGAAAGCGGCATAGTGGTTAAGATGCTGGACTGCCATGTAGTTGACCAGTTTGAATCCTGGACCCAGGGGCTTAAAATTCCCACTGGGCACATGTGTATGTGTGTCCAAAACCCCAAGAAGAGAATGGAAGAGAGGAATCTGCAGTGTGGCCATCCTTCTGTGGGGAGGACTTCTGTTTTTTTTTTTTGTTTGTTTGTTTTTTTTTTGTCTCTGTCTCTGACAAGGGCACATGACCTATGATAAAAGTCTCTCTTAAGAAACAAGTTTTTTGTTCTTTGACTTTCTTTATGAATACCATTACCTGCTCAGGACTGTTAAACTCCCACCATTGTCATAAGTGTTTGTGCTTGCAAAAATATTTCATCACATGAAGAGGACTATGAAGTGTTTTGTCATGTTCTTATGTTTCTCAAATAAATTCCCTTCTAAAAATGTACATAAATACATTTTAAAAATAATTTTTAGTAAATATTTTCTCCAGAGTTTTATTTTTGAAAATTTAATCTTTCAAGATATTTGGATATAGAAATGTTCATCTTTAGGGATTATGTTCTTTTGGGATTTTAGACTGTAAAGATTTCATATGTAAGAGATTTTTGATCTTTCGAAATTTCAACTTACGGGATCATATCATTTGGGATTTTTGTCTTTATGGACAATGGCCCAAACTTGGCCAGTAGTATTGTCCTCACTTCTTTCTTTTTTGTTCCCTTAACAGGGACGGACTGAAGGACATCGACTGCTTTTCACCATCCCCAGTTTAACTTCCTTGTGGTTCTGATGCCATTTTGAAGCTGACTCATTTCCACCTAAGACAGGATGTTGTTACTTGAAAATCACATTCATTTTATAGAACTTGCTAAGCATTACAGCAAATTAAGAGCAAGCAACATTATTTTCTCGTTAAATTTGCAAAGGGATGATCTGAACGAATTACTCATATTCCTAATTAATTTTTACAGAAATAATGAGGAGGTTGTAAATGGAAAAACATTTGCATGCACGTACAGAACTCGCCTTTCAAGCAGAAAACAATTTATGCTAATAGACAGATTTGCAAATAAGGCAATCTTAGAAAAACTTCAGGTACTTAAAGGCATCTAATGGGACAGCTACACAACACCAGTGCAATGAAGTGTTGCCATGGAACCTGTCAGTGACTCAGATTCGACTTCACAGCCACTTCTTTCCCTCTTTCCTCTCTGTTCTTTCTGTTCCCTCTCCTCCTCTTGTTTCTTTCTCTCTCTTTCCCCATCCACTGATCTCTACTGCAGTACTCAGAATTGGTGAGAATATGGGGAAAGGGATGCCAAGACAACATTAATTCACAAAGAAAATATTTCTGTAAGGCTATGTGAAAAGAAAATAGAATTTTTTTGTTTGTCTGTTTGTTTATTTATTTGTTTGTTTTTTTTTTTTTTGAGAGGTTTTTGCTATAGGGCGCGTGTGCTCACCAGAAAGACAGAGAGAAAAAGAGACATAGAAAGCGAGAAATCACCCCCTGGGGTGATGGCCATGCCGCAATCCTTTCTCCTCCATTCTCCTCTTGGGATCTTGGGCACGCACGCACATGTGCCCGGCTTGAGTTTAAGCCATTGGGTCTGGGACTCAAACCATGGTCGACTACATGGGAATCCAGCAACATAGCCATTACGCTAACTATTGGTGCCAAGTTCCTTTTTTCTTAGGCAGATTTTTGCTATAATGCGTTTGCACTCTCTGGAGAAACAGAGAGAGACAGGAAGTGAGAAATCAACCTTTGGGAAAGATGGCCATGCCGCAATTCCTTCTCCTCCATTCTCCTCTCGGGATCTTGGGCACACAAGCACACGCGCCAGGCATGAATTTTAAGCTGCTGTGTCCAGGACTGCATGGGAATCCAGCGACATAATCATTACACCAACAGCCTCTGATTCACCAATGAATTTTTGAGAATGTATCTTAACAAATAATCACTGATACACACAGACTGAACACTGAGCTGAAGAAAGTTTTACAAATCTGTGGGCTATTTAACATAACATTCTAAAACCATGACACATTATGTTGAGATGATTTTGAATGATACAGAAAAACGTAGACACGTTTTTACAAACACCGAGTCACAAGCAATGTATTCGATATAATTCTATCTCCTATATACACAGAGTTAAAATAATGGAAAGCGACACTCTCCAAATTAGCAATGAATAGAGTCCTGTGTGGCTTTGGACATTTCACTCCAGTTTCCTTTGGCCCTTTTATTTTCTCTGGAGTCGTTAACATTTGGAAGTATAACTTTGGATACAGCTAAATATCAGGTCTTCAGGAAAGCCATGGAGTATTTTTCTATGCACAAATGTATCATGGCTTTTCCAACGACCCAGGATGTAGCCGTAGATAGATAATCCACACAGCTGCGTGCACAGATGTCCACACACACTCAGATGGCTCTTCACATAGATATGCAGGTACAATCACTGAGTCTCAAAGCCACGGAGGGGACCGTTTGGTCACGGTGTTACCAACCGGTCCCTTCTGACCTTCCAAGGACGGCATTTAAGCTGAGCGAATCTCTGGAATACAGGACTAAATCATCTGCTCTAATAATGCTAACCATATTTCTGCAACACAAAGACGACATTTTACAGTGGAATGCTCTGAATCATAAGGAAGAGATTCCAAACGTACCATTGAATTTTTCACGCTCTGTAGCAAGCGCTCATGCTGCTCGGCTATCGCCAGGGCAGCGGAGTGGACTTTCTGATAGATGGCTTCCCCATCTCGCGTCTGAAAGATAAACAGCCCTTCACCACTCTCACACATCCTGTAAAACAAAACAAACAGCTTCTGAAAATCCAGCTCCCGGATGGGCAGTCCGCGAGAGCCCAGGACGCTCCTGAGGCTGTGCTCACCTTTCTCTAAGGTGATCAGAATCCTTGTTCACATTTGCCAAAAGTTCACTAGAATCCAAACGCTCAAAACATCCAATTAATTGTTATGAATAAGGGCAAGGAAGCAATAACTCGAGGTTAACACGTGCTCAGATGCTTTTTAATCACAAAGCACAGTAGACAGTTAATTAAAAAGCTCTTTCTCGATTCTCATATAATCTCTCTACTTCCCTCACTACTTTCCAAGAGGCACACCTGTGCAGGTGAGCACCCTCCTACAGTCTCTGAACAACGCCATCAGGAACCACGCCAGTGCGCTCAGAGGCCAAAGGAGGATTTGACATCTCTTAGATTCTCTTCTAACTTTCCCCAAAAACAATAGCCTCAAGGATTCTTTTATTTCTGAAACCCAGATCAAATTTTACTCACACTTCTAATCAATATAGTGAATTAAATGCAATTTATTTTTGTTTCTTGTTTTTTGGGGTTTTTTTGAGAGACTTTTTGCTATAGGGTGCATGCACTCACCAAACAGAGAGAGACAGAAAGCGAGAAATCACCCCTAGAGGGAATGGCTACGCTGCAATCCCTTCTCCTCCAGTCTCCTCTCGGGATCTTGGACACACATGCACTCATGCACACAGCATGAATTTTCAGTCGCCATGTCTAGGACTCGAACTGTGGTAGATTACGTGGGAGTCCAACAACATGATAACTATGCCATCTGCTGGTCCCTGTTTTTGTTTTTAATGAGCATGACTGTGATGAATTAATGCAGGGAACCTAAGAGATGTTCTTCAAGGGAAGCTGTATTTGTTCGATAATGTCATGTGTTCAGAGGACCATCATTGCCTCAAAACATTAAAAAGCAGAAATGAATTACATTAATAAGGGGGAGATCGGTACACACAATTAGGCAAACATGCATTTTCACTGAATATACCTTAGCATGTATATAACTATAAAAATATACTTAATCACTACACATATTTTCAGAGAACTTGAATAAAGTATGCAGAAACATTTTTTAAATCTCCAATTTTATTATTTACATATGTAAACAGTTAATGAAGGGGTTGTTTTTGTTTATTTGCCTCAGAGAATTCATTATTCAAAGAAATAATGCCGCTCCTACTTCAGATTCTCTTGCTGAAAAATTGAACCAAGCTTTAGAGCTTGGGTCTCACTTACACCTGAAGAACTCGTTTAATGTAACATGAACACTAAGCAAAGTTCCAGCCCAAACCACTGTTAGTTATTTTTTTCTACCCCAGTCTACACAATTAATGTAATAGAACAGCAACAAAAATTTGTCCCTAATTCTTCACAGTTGGCTTGTCTACCACGGCCATATGGCAGCTTTCTGTATATACGATATGATTTAAGCAACTGTCAAAACCATGCATCTTAAATTTCACAAATATGGGCTATGTGAAAAGAAAAAAACTTTCTTTAAAAAAGCTAAGCTAATATACAGAACTAGCTCATCGGGTCGATCACGTGGTTTTAAATCTTACATCATTCTAATCCAATGAAAAAGTAAAAGGAAAGTTCAAGTCATTTTCAATCAATTCCCATTTTATCCCTGATGTCATCCTAAAATCCTTCACTTATTTAAGCCACCATACACACTCGTCTTTACTGCTTGGCAAATAATTGTACCAGGTTTTATGACTTTCCCACATCTTCTTTTTTCTATCAAATATGGAAATGTTAATTCATTAGGTAAATGAAGTAACTAACCCTAATCTTAACCTTTAAGAGGAGGAGGTATTTTAAGACAGGAAGCATACAAAAATAAAATAGTTTCTACTGCCTTGTTTTTAATATTGGTGCTATACAATGCTTAATCTACATTATGACTCATTAATCGGCAAGCTACTCTTTGAAAATCATTCTTTCATCCACTGTCCACCTTTGATAAACATAAAAAATCCACATCTTTTCTTTTCTTTAGGGTGCATGAGCTCACTGAAGAGATATAGTAACAGGGAAAGTGAAAAGTCATCTCCCAGAAGGGGTCCTCAATCCCTTCTTCTTCATTCTCCTCCTGGGATTTTGGGCATGTATGCACATGCACCCAGTGTGATTTTCAAACCTCCAGGTCTGGGACTTGAACTGTGGTTGGTCATATGGGAGTCCAGCATCTTAACTACCATGCCACTTGCTGGCCCCCTACACAAATCTCCAAGTAAATACTTAAATAAGAAACAAATGAGATCAAAACAATTATGGTATCAATCATTATTCTTAACAATGAGTAGATTTTCCTCACTTCTACCCAAAGATCTGGAATGAACAAACACACACACACACACACACACACACATGCACACATGCACACACACACACACACACACAGCTCACCACTTACAGAAAAGACCAAAAGTCACGACCTCATATTCCACTGAAGTATGGGCAGAGACCATGAATGGATAAACTTGCTCAACCCACTACAGTACGTAGCAGAGGAAGCGTATAATGGAGAACACGGGTCCTGCTG